CCCATGGCCTTGGTGTTATCAGCACCGCACTCTACCGAGTGAGCCACGGGCCGGCCTCAAACACACATTGTTGAAGAGTCACTCTGTCACAGTCCTTAAGACCATCTTCTGTCTATAGCAGACATTTGACTGAGTCACTGCCCATTCTCCAATCTGCTAAATTCCATTCCTGCCATAGGAAGCTTAAAGGCCTCCAACATATCTATCTTTTTATTAATTTTTTTGAGGAGATGAAGAATTTTGAAGTTCCTCATTACCAGTTTATCAGGGTAAGAATCTAAAAAAAAAGAACAATGGGAACGATAAGTAGGGAGGTGAGTGTCACTAGTTTCTTTGGTCCCTTGGTAGAGCATGGTGGGTTCATTCCTGATTCTCAAAGCAGCAAGAGAACAATTTACTTGCTCTTGTACTAATAGAAAAAAAGCCTCATTAACACTTTCTTTGTTTGTTTTTTTAGTCAGGTTTATGAAGGTATTATTTACAGATAGTATTATTCACCCTTTTCTGGCATACAGTTCTATGAATTTTGACAAATGCATACACAGTTGGGTAACCACAATCACAAAAGAACATTTCCATCATTCCAAAAAGTTCCTCCTCTTTGGAGTCAATTCCCTTTCCCCAATACTAGCCCTTGCTGAACACTTATCTGCGTTTCTCTGATTTTTGTTCCATAGTTTTGCCTTTCTAGAATGTCATGTAAATGGAATCACATAGTATGTAGCCATTTGAGGTTGGCTTCTTTCATTTCAGCATAATGTACTTGAAATTCATCCATGTTATTACCTGTATTAGTAGTTTTCTTCCTTCTCTTAATGAGTAATATTTCATTGTATGGATGTACCATAGTTTATTTTGCCATTTATTTATCCACTCACCAGTTAATAATAATTTGGATTGTTTCTGGTTTTTAGAAATTATAAATAAAACCTTCACAAACATGTGCATACAAATTTTTACATGTGTATGTGTGTGTGAACATATGTTTTCACTTTTCTTGGGTAAATTTCTAAGAGTGGGTTGCTGGGACATACACTAAGTGTACATTTAACTTTATAAGAAACTGGCAAACTGATGTCCAATGTGGGTTGTCCCTCCAACAACATATGAGACTTCCAGTTAGCTCACATTATCACCAGCACTTGGTACTGTCAGTTATTTTTATTTTAGTCATTCTAAGTGTATAGCAGTATCTCACTGTGGTTTTACTTTGTATTTATTCTAATGACTAATGACATTGAACATATTTTCTTGTGCTTTTTTGCCAGCCTATATCTTTTTTTGGTAACTGTCAATTCAAATCTTTTGTTCATTTTTTATAAGGTTGTTTTGTTCTCTTATTATTGAGTTGTGAGTATCGTTAACTTTTATTAATCATTGATTCAACATATATTTCTATGCCAGGCACTGTTCTTGCTGTT